TTCGATCTTGATGTACTTTCATTATTCATGTACTCCTGGTATCGAACTTTTGTCTTGTAGCTCTTAAGCGAGAGAAAGAGGGAAAAAGGAGCGGGGACTCGGTGGGAACGCGGCGGAGGCCGATACTAGAGGGCGACGCATTTCTATCACAGTAAAAATATTCGTGTTCTCCCTCTTGACTCCACTTCTCTCGAGTTGGGTAACAATTGATCGGAATAACTTTGCTCGAACTTTGTATATGTATATGGCACGAACTTTAGCCCGGAAATTTCTCGAGTGAAAAAAAAAGGCCATTCATCGCAGCGATGCGTTTGAATGGTGACAAATCAACGGAAAAGGGGGTAAAGTAAATAAATAAAAACCTTGCGGCTCTATCGGTCCAACACGAAAAATTCATACTCTGATGGGAAGGGATTCGGTCGTTGTCGTCGCTGCTACACGGGTCAGATCCTCTCAGAGGGGTACTACCTTCTCGGCGTGCTGCAGGACCGGCACGTGCGTCTCGTAAATGGGCACGCACTTGTAGTACTGCTGGTGATGGGGAAAGCCCATGAATTCGGCCTCGGAGGGGACCAGACGGCCGCGAAAGCGCCCGCACACCAAGTGGACCATCAGCAGAATGCAAAGGAGGGTCAGCGAGACTATTAGGATGATGGGCAGCGTGCTCCAGCCTCGCCATTGCTCCAACACCTGTCGACAGCAGATGGAACACGACCACGAGGTCACGGTTAGCGCCGCTCAAACTGAGGCTGCGTTTTTGTTCTTTATCTACACAAAAGCTGGAATAGCATCTCCATCGTGTGTATACTTTGAGATATTTCGGCTGAGCATGACACGTAAATGGCACGCGTTGTTTGATTGAATGTATACGCAGATAAGTATCTTGGTATTATGCTCGGGTCAACCAAAAGTTTTAAAAATCCACGATGGAGGGCGCTATTCCAAAGTTGCGAGCAACATATGCTTCGAACCTAAATGTATAGTTCGAACTATGCGAGTAATCAGCTCTCCGTTCGAGTATAATCATGTTTCTCAACTGTAACTCCTCGCGTAACTTTAATTCGATTAAATTCGAATTCAGTAGGTAACTATACGTCCCCACACTAGAACGCATATTCTCAAAGAGATTCCATTTAAGTGTGATCATCCTCGAGGGCAAAACTACGTGATGAACCGTATTAAACCACATGATTGGACAATGCGTTAAAAGTTTGGTTTTTCCCTTCAACCGGATGCAAATTGCCGTTTTGTAACGATCTATGGAATACCACCATTGTACATTTATTTTGCACGCTTATATACGATGTCAAAGTATTCAAATTTACGAATTTCACCGGGTCTTGTAAAGTATTCAATCTATATATGCAAAAAAATCGTGGCTTAAACGGGAAAAAGCGCGACCGTTATTTTTGATCGGTAAAAATTCGACGCTCGTTCGTTCACAATACCGGGCACTGGCTGATTAGAGCGCGCGGGATGCAGCTTCACTACGACTCACGCACCAAAATCAATTAGCTCGTCGATTATTTATTCCGGCGCCGAGCTGCATCATCCACAGACACCGCAATGCAATCAATCGCGTTTCCTGAGAGCATTATTCATTATTCAGTAGAAATCCATCGAAATCGAAACGCAGGGAAGAAAAAAAAAAAAAAAAAAAAAAGAACAGGGAGATGGAACAAAGAGAGAGAGAGAGAGAGACTTACCGAGGGGGTGGGGCAGATCGGACAGCATTTTCCCGGGGGCGGTGGCAGGGGATTGCCGCAGGCGACCGCGCAGATGGTCTCGTTGCAGAAGATCCGGCCGCCGGGCTCGCAGGAACAGCTACGGCAGTAGTCGGTGCGCCAGCGCGCTCCCTCGAGATGTGTCACGTTGCGCTCGTCCAGGCAGCTGTCCAGGCACCGGCAGGTCTACCCGAACCAAAAAACAAGAGCTATGATTCATCGCACAACCGCTTGGTAAAAACATTGCGCTCTCTTTGCATATATACAATATAGCGCCATCGAAGGAGGAAAATTATCCGCCACAAAGGCGCGCGCATCGTCAAAGCGTCTCCTCGTGGCGACAAAAAGATGGCTTAAATCAGGCCTCACCCAAATACAAGGTGCACGTACACGGGAGTGAGCAAAAAGAGCCTTTGTGCACGAGCTCTTTGTAGAGCGGACAAGCAGCCGTGTATATGTATAGATTATCTTACCGGGCAGCCGAGCTCGTCCATGGTAAAGCCTTGCGGGCACTCGAGGTCGCAGTCAATGATGGCCGGACAGTCGGGGCGCGGCCTGCACTGGCAAAACACGCAGCCCCTCGAGTCCATGAGGAAGCCCCACTGGCAGCTGAGGTTGCACGACTGCTGCGACTCGGGACACTCGTCGTCCTCGTCGAGCCCGTCCTCATCCTCCTCATCGTCCTCCTCGTCATCGTCATCCTCCTCCATCACCTCGTTCTGCAACGGCCAACACATTTTTAACCAACCCCTCTCTCTCTCTCTCTCTCCATCTCTATTTGTTTCATTTACAATAATTAACAAAGACGACATTTTATAAGGGTTGGGAGGTTTGTTGTTGGATGCTTTTGCTCTGCAGCGTAACGCGAGCACCGCTGAATCTTCGAATGAATTAAACATCATTAGAAGTGCAAAGTTCGAGGAGCGAGTTTTTCGGCGCATAATTAGGTATATATGCATATACGCACAGAGATGTTGTCGCGAGGGATTTGGGGAGAACTCAAAAGGGGGGGGGGGGGGGGCA